TTTTTCTTAGCACAAAAAATTTTATTTGCATCTTGAATAATTTTCATTCCTAGAAAATAATGTAAAAGTCTTAGGTCAATCATTTCAAATTTTGACATCATATTTTTCTTAAATTCAGCAAGCATATCTAATGATTTTTAANTAAAAGATGTTCATACATTAGGCTTATATATATATATATATATATATATATATATATATATATATATATATATATACTTATAAACATATTTTTTAAATATTTTTTAGTTTTTGTTGTTGCTAATACTGACCTGATTTGAGAAAATATAAACTTATCAATTTTTTTGTTATAGCATGTAAAGAGTTCTTACATCTTTCTATATTTGATCTTTAGTAATATTGGGATTTGATAGATTATACTTAATAAAATTATTTTTTATTAAAATTTATAATTCTTATAAAAATAATTTTTTTATTTTTAGTGACCTAAAATCAATAATTTTCATCTCTGAAGATAGGAAGAAATTGATTAGAAATATTTACTCCAAAGTTTGTCTTCTCTTTTTTTTTTCACCTTCTCGTTCTACTAGTTCCTCCTCTCGTCTTTTTTAATCGACATACTCTTACTAATCTTCTTTAAATCAAACCCTAATACCACACTTATTGGGAGTAGAAGGAATGATAAGTACTTTCCATCTATAATGTTTTGGACTTATCCGAGATTACATATTTATATTAGTCGAAAGGATAAAATATAAATTTTTTAAACAAGAAAAAATCAATCATAGTCCAACAAATATTCTCATCCTCATTCATATAAGAAAAAACTAATTATTCATCTATTTATCTTAATTTAAATTTTTATTTTTAGAGAAGGCCACCGTTGATGCTAGAATCCTAATAATTCTATCATCTGAACCAGATTGCTTGGGCTACTCCAAAGAGGCAGCAGAGATGTTTCTTTACGAGACTCCTAAAGTGCTCCTCGACATCGCCAACCTATCAAACCTCATCCATCGTGGGACGAGCCGCATCTGATGCCGTAAACGCTAGCATATCCTCCTCCCAAGAAATGTTGGGAGGAATCGGAGGGAGCCATTAGAGAACATGGCTCGTGAATGCTTCGAATAGATGCCACCTTGGGCTACTCGTTGCAGTCCTGTAAAGGCCATAATATAAGATAGCTTGATCTGTAAGTATGATATCTGATGGAGTCCATGCATCATTATTATTAAGCTACCGTAATGATGTCTAGCATCTCTACTTCTCGTGTTGGTCACGTAAGCTATCAACTTTAGCTATTACAGCCTCTCAGTTTCGTGTAACATCTTTCTGAGAACTCATTAATTATCTTATCAAACCAAATCCTAATGCATGATATGATATCAAGACAGACATACTATCCGACGTTCAACCTTATGCGGAGAGAATTGAGTTGAGATCAAACTATTACTATTAACTTAGACTTAAGTATTTTGATCGCGTAATTTAATTTATCACATCAAATTGCATCATGACAATAACTATACTTACATGCTTCTATTAGTATGATAATTATATTTTCCTTTTTAGTAGTAAGAAACTCGAATAGAAGATAATTGAGTTGATCGTAATGGAAGAGTAGTACTATTATTAAATTACGCTTGAACATCTAGACCCCGTGAATTAGGGTTATTAAATTAATGAGTTAGTTATCTCATTAAATTCGGGAGTGTTAATGAATTATTGTACTACTAAAAGCATGACAAATATTTATTTTTCTTTTGGTATGGTTCATTTAGACTTAATTAAACCTTTCATAAAGGCAATGTAACTTCATTAATCGAAGAGAATGATGATGATGATGGTTTGGAAAAAAAAAAAAAAAATATATATATATATATATATATATATATATATATATATATATATATATATATATATATATATATATATATATATATATATATATATAGGAGTTATTGGAGGACAAGAATAATATAAAGACATTTGAACTTTGTTCTATGTGAGCATCAGATTCCTATGTTTCTTTTTGTTCCCTCCCTCGTATCGGTTCTATTCCTCGTTTTAGAAAGGAATTGGGCCGGACCAAATGGCCCACTTCTCCTATCTTATCACTTACTGTGTATATTTAAATTCTAGCCCTTTTTTTTAATCTACTTAAATGGCTGATTTGATCTTTTGATCATTTTGATATCATCATATCTATTTTTAAAATATAAAATCATCATTATATGCATGATTTCAAATCATACATAATTTTAAATCATTATTTTATACATGATCGTCCTCATAATTTTTCTCCTATTGTCATCAACAAAAAAAAAAAAGAAGTGCAACTAGCAAGTTTTTGAGATACATAAGTTTTACGATATACAAGCTAGCAACAATTTTAAGTTATTTCAAGTTTACAAATTTAGCTTTTTTTTTTTTGAGATATGTGAGTTTTGCTTGTTAAGATAGACAAGATCTTTATTTATGGCCATATACATAATTATTATTTTTTAAGATTTTATTCAAAAATACATTGGCAATTTAAATATCAATCCTCTCCCTCCCTCTCATTTTTCCTTTTACTTTCTTGAGGTCTTCCATCATTTTCTTTTGCTGCTGCCCATTCTATCCAAAGAAAACTAGTCATTGCTCTAACAAATACATTGGAAAGAATTTATTTGATGAAAGATCTGAACTCTCAAAAGCAATATTCCACCCTATTAATTTCCTAGCATTAGATTTGGTCTCAATTGGATTTGAACCTAAATCGAATCGGGTCAACAATTCGACGATTTCGAATCGAACCATAGTCGAGGTGATTCGGTTCGATTTCGAATCTATCGAAAAATTAAAATAATTAAACACCCCGGTAAATGATAAATATGCCCTTTCAATAGTTCGATAAATAACTAATTATAGAGATATTTTAAGAAATCTAAAATTAAAATCAGAATCATCAATTTCGAAATCGAGGGGGTTAGAGCAAGCTACCCCTATTAATTTCCTAGCATTAGATTTGGTCTCATTTCGGTTCGAACCTAAATCGAATCGGGTCAACAATTCGACGATTTCGAATTGAACAATCGTCGAGGTGATTCGGTTCGATTTCGAATCTATCGAAAAATTAAAATAATTAAATACCCCTGTAAAATGATAAATATATCCTTTCAATAGTTCGATAAATAACTAATTATAGGGATATTTTAAGAAATTTTAAATTAAAATCAGAATCATCGATTTCGAAACCGAGGGGGTTAGAGCGAGCTACCATCTTGTTGCAAGATCCGAACCCACAAAGCCCAACTCCACCCTATTGATCTATCTGCCAACATCCTGTTGAAAGATCCGAACCCGCAAAAGCGAACTCCCAAAAGCAGTTCCGAACGCGCATGTGGCGATCGAGGATTGTTCCCAAAGGAACACACGCGAAGGGCAACTGCAACAGCGGCACAGTCACATCCAATGATGAGTCCCTCCCACCCTTCTTCTAAGACACCCCCACCCAAAGCATGGCTCACATACGCACACTAACGGTGTAAGGCTGCGAGGGGGTTCCCCATGTGCCATTGTGGCCTCATGCCTTTGTATCCATTCTCAGCAAAGTTCCCTTCCTTTGGGTTACCCTCATCCGTTCCTCCTGCCTTCCACCAGCGAGGGATAACCCCACTTGGCCTTTCCTAACTTGCTTGGCCACCATAGAAAGCTCCTGATGGCGACTCCCATGGAGGTAGACAACGTGATGAAGCATCGAATTATTGGGCTAGCTTGCATTAAAGTCTCCATTATTTGAGGTTCAATGGCGAAGAGACATGCAAGGAATAGGAGGTAAAGTGACTGATTTGTTGATTAAAGTATTTAAGTTTAAGTTAGTGATGGTGGATTCAGATTATTTCTCACCTTTGATACGGAACTAATCAGTCGCTTTGCCTGAAAAGATTTAAGTTAGTAGAAGCATGCAAAGTATTATTTTGCTACCATAGTAATTTTGTTCTTTTGGGATCCGAACAAAAAAAGGTGAAGATGAACTGTAGATTATTAGTTTCAAGTAATCAAGGATTGAAAGAGATGGGTGATAATATGTTGAGATTGACATGTCAGGTTGAAAAGGACTCCCTGCATTAATCCAATAAAAAAAAAATGGTGACAGAATTGAGGGGCGAGTCATCATCACGAATGATTTGAAGGCTCAAGGCGTCATTCGAGTCTACATGGAAGAATCTCAAAGCATGATGCATCTTAACTCTATGATTTGATCTGTTGAGCTGCCATTATCAGTGACGTAGAACAGCGCTAATTATACGGGAGAGTTGGAAATGTTTATGTGGACGAGTAGACAACACACGAAGCAGAATCGAAGGATATCCACAAGCTTCCATTTTTCTTTTCTTTTACTTCGAATTGCAACCCATCAATCTCAACATTGTTATAGCCAAAGCTAATACAACTTGATTAGTTTAGACCTACCGAAGCTTTTGCCTGAAGGACAACACCGAGCTTCTTATCTTGACTTATAGTTGCAGAGGACAAAACGAGTGAGGAAGTACACGAGCATGTCTTTCGGAACTGTTAGATGTTGAAGTTAGGGTTTTTGTGAGATCAAACAAAGTGCATGAAAAATAAGAAAAAGAAGTTAGGGTTTTAGAGGACTCGGGATTAGCAAGCATATAGCATATGGCCTTTTCAGATCAAGGATTAGTTTTGAGATCTTCATCAGAGAATAGGAAGGCGATTTCTTGCGGAATTCCTTCTGCATGACGTTGTACAATGTTTGAGGCTACTGCTGTACTAGCAATGATTGGATCCTTTCATATCTTGCGGAAGATACTGAACAAAGGAGGAGTGGAAACGTGGGGGTCTTCTCGCACACTCTTCTCTCTCTCTCTCTCTCTCTCGTATCAGCCAACACCAGAAAATATGAGTAGGAAGCCAAGAAAGGTGGTGTGTGTATGTCTTTACAGCGATATTACCATCTCTTGGAGAAGCGGAGGAGATGCTTGAAGAGAGGATAAACGGAAAAGGAAGACCGTGTTCAGAGATCATTGGAAACCTCGGAGATGCTCTCTAGATGTGGCCGCCACACGCCCACTCTCCCTCGCCGCCTCTCCCTCTGCGTCGACACCTTCTCGGATAGGATCTCCGACAAGTACTGGTCGCTGAGAAGCAGCCTCGTCTTGTCCGTCGCAGCCACGTCGACATTCGCTGCTTCCTCTTTCTTCTTCTTCCTCCTCCTCGTTCCGGGCGTCTGCGACCGGGCCTTCTCTGGCGCCGCGGACGTCACCGGTACGAGGAAGTATATCTTCCCCTTCTGCAGCTCGGCGGTGGGAGGCAGCACCACGGCCTTGGGGATGTCGGCGCCGTCCGACGACGACGGTGAGGGTGGCTTTCGGATTACGTGCTTGGGGTAAGCCTGCATGATCTCCCCGGCGCTGACGGTGCCGCTGATCTCCTCGACGCGCCCGTTCGCGTGCACGATACGGATCACGTCCAGCGCGCCGCACGGCAGGATGCAGGAGATGCAGCACCATATGGCCTCCTTCATGTCTCTTTCTATCTCTCTCTCTCTCTAATAATAGTTCTTTCCTGATTCAAATCTATTACTCTCTTCAGGTGGAAAGGAGGAGCAGAGGAGGGGGAGGAGGAGGGGGGAAAGAAGGGATATGAAAAGGGTATATTTAAAGAGGGGAAATGAATGCCCTCCATATTTGCCCCCTCCTTTTGCAGGTATTAGAACTGGGAGGGCGAGCTTTGGTGAGACATGACGGCATGATGATTACCTTTTTCTCTTTTGCTTTTGGTGAGGAATGGGGTGTGTGCGACAGTGATTTTGAGGAACTTGGATAAATATTCTCACTGCCATGTTCTAAGCCTGGCTCGAATCATTGCACCATGACGAACAGCTCAATCCCACAACAACATATTCTTTAATTTAAATGGAAAAAAAGTTACAATTAAGGTTGTCACGATCATATGATTTGACATGTTCTCCTGATAAGAATGAGTTTTGGCTTCGAATAATGTATGTATCATAAAGATGTAGGATTTGTCATGTTCATTTGACATAAATGTCATTAGTCCAATGCATGGATAGCAATTGGAACAAACACAAGTGCTGAATTAATTAAGCTGGTTGGGCCTGGATAATGAGGAGATTGTTAACTCTCTGGGAAACAGTAATCATCGTGCAAGGAACATCTTAAAGTATTTAAGCAAAAGGGAGATTGATCGAATAACCGTTAGAGAGCAATAAATTAAGTAGAGCAACTCTATGAGATTTTTTGGATGATTGCACAAGAACACCCAATTACACTAAAAAGCTGCATCCATATATATATATATATATATATATATATATATATATATATATATATATATATATATATATATATATATATATAT